CACTATACTGCCAGAGCCTCTTTCCCTCTAGAGGAGGGGGGAAAGATAAAAAAAAAAGCTTCACCCAGAGCTGGAATTATGCTGGTTCTGCTGCCCCCTGGTGGTTTCTTTGAAACTGCACCAACAGCTCTGCATCAAGATTGGGCCCCAGACTCCTTCCATCTGTGGAGTAAAATACAGTTTCTTTGGTAAGAAGAGAAAGGGAATTTTTAGGGGGTAATACATCTGGAGAGCTCGAAAAAAAACACAGTGCCTGTCCCTCGGAACAGGTGAGGTTGATACATTGAATGGGCTGTGAGGATCCTTTAACGTGTCCGCTGGCCCGTCACCCCTCACAGGCATTTCACAGGTCTCGGAACATGAAAGGCAAAAGCAGCTTCAGCAACACGGGTGCCCAGCACTCTTCATTTTATCCAAGGGGAGACTGAGGTCCAAGAAGGGAAAGCCTGCTAATATCAGAGCTGCGCCCAAGAGCTGGCTTTCTGACTGCCTTTGTCTGCTCTTCCTCCTCTTCCTTCTTGTTTTCATCCTCCTCTCGTAAAATCTCCCTCATCCTAACGACTACCTTGGGCTGAGCCCTCACCGTGAGCCACTCACAAAGCTAAGGTGTGTCACAACCGCCATGGCATTTAATGCATGCAACAACATAGAAAAATAGTTTTTCTCCATTTCATGGATCAGGAAACTAAGGAAGAGAAAGCACTTGTCCAAAGTGACATGACAAAATGAACGGTGGCCCTCCGGCTTTGCAGGAAAACGTGCACTCTTCCTGCTCTGTGCTGTGTTGAGTGAAGGGCGATGTGGAAATGTAACGCTCTGGAGCTTACAGCTAAATAGTAATAGCAGTTACTGCGTGCCGGGTACTGCTCTCAGCAACTCACAGATGCTAACCTATTTACCCTCAACTTGATCTGAGAAAACAGTACTCCTGTGATCACCATTTTGCAGGTAGGGAAACTGAGGCACAGAGAGTTTAATAACTTGTCCTGAGTCTCATAGCTGATAAGTACAGAGATAGGATTCAAACTCAGGGTGTCTGGCTCTATCATCCAGGCCCTTAGCCATTGATAGTCTGAGTCTTCCTGAAACAAACAGGCAGCCAGCCTTGACCTAGGGATCTCCTTGAGTACCCCAGGTCCCCCCACCCCACCCCGGGCTGCTGGTAGTTTGTGGTGGACAGTTTTGTGAAGCAGTGTCAAGGCACCAGAACCCTCACCCCGAGGTCTGAAGCCATAGGACATCCTAGAAAATAGCATCTCCTTCACCCACCATGTCTTTGCCCTGCTTTATTTTTCTTCAAGAACTTCATGACATTGCTATACATTTAAAATTTTATTTATTGTTTCCTGTCTCTCCCACCAGCATGTAAGCACCTCAAGGGTGAGGACGCCATTGTGTTCACCCCTCTATGCTCAGTGCCTGGTACACAGCAGGTACTCAATACATATTGGTGGGTTGTCCTTTGACAGGTCTAAGGGCCCCATGTGTCAGAAAGTGGTACAGGAAGAAGGGCTCTCCTGCCACATCTTTCTTCTGCATAGTGGCTGGTGGGTTTGAACTGCTGATCTTTCAGTTCATAGCTGAGTGCTAAACCACTGCACCACTGGGGTCCCTTTGCCTAGCACATAAACCAAAAAAAAAAAAAAACAAAAAACCCAAACCCACTACCATTGACTCAATTCTGGCTCATAGTGACCCTATACGACAGAGTAGAACTACCCTGTAGAGTTTCCAAGGCTGTAAATCTTTAAGAAAGTAGACTGCCTCATCTTTCTCTCATGGAGTGGCTGGTGGGTTCGAACCGCTAACTGTCCCGTTAGCAGAAGAATGCTTTAACTACTATGCCACCAGAGCTCCCTTTGCCTAGTATGTAGCACGCACTATGTAAATGTCAGCTACAGTAACTACTGCAATGTCAGCCCACAGGGAGCCGATCTTGGGGAGTGGAGAGGGCCAGGCTTCAGAGCACAGAAACCTACGGGGAGAAACCAAAAAGCACAATATTCATGCAGTCACATTCCAAGTCATGCCCCTAATGAGTCTGCTCTGCCAACTCCCATAAGGGGCAGGATGGATTGGTGGTCATGACCAGAGGCCGTGAAGTCACCTGCACCTGAATTTGAATCCTGGACCTTTGGGCTTGTAACTTAACCTCTCTGTCCCTCAGTTTGCTCATCTGTAACATGGGGATAAGGAGCCTTGTGGCATAACGGTTAAGTGCTTGACTGCTAACCATAAGGTGGGTGGTTCAAACCCACCAGTGGCTCTGTGGAAGAAAAGACTTGGTAATCTGCTCCTGTAAAGATTACAGACTAGAAGACCCTATGGGGGTATTTCGCCTACATCATATGGGGCCGTTTTGAGTTGAAATAAAATTGGGCAATCTACTTCCGTAGTGATACCGCCTCGACAACCCAAGGAGTGGTCGCTATGAGTTGGGGCCGACTTGACGGCACATAACAACAACAACAATAAGGAAAGTTGGGCAATCTACTTCTGTAGTGATACTGCCTTGGAAACCTAAGGAGGGGTCACTATGAGTTGGATCTGACTCGAAGGCACACAACAACAACAACAACAATAACAAAAATATGGGGATATCTATCATACCCACATCATGGGTAATGTACTTAGAATAACATTCATTGTTGGTCTGTATTGTTAATATGGGCAGTAGAGAGCTTAAGCATCTCAGCTCTGTGGAAAAAAATGACTTTTATTAACACTGTTGAGATAAAGTCCTTGCTCCGTGGAATGTTTTAGGCAGCTGCTTTCTGTCCTGAGGTTCATATGCTTCTCTCATGAGGGACATTTCCCAAGTGTGGCCACTAGATGGCACACGTGTTCTTTCCTTCCCCATTGCCAGTCACAGAACAACAACGACAACAACAAAACCAAGCTCACTTTGGTGGTGTTTGGATCTGACTCACAGCAACCCCTCCTTGGGTTTCTGAGGTGGCAGCATCACTACGGAAGTAGGAAGTAGATTGCCCAACTTTCCTTTCCAGGTTTGAACCACTAGCCTTCTGGTTAGCAGTCAAATGCCTTAGGCACTATGCCACCAGAGCTGGTGGGCCACTATTTATGTGCCAGACACTGGCCTGTGCCGTTTGCTTCATCAGATTATGAGACTATGTGAAATGCTAAGCACAGGGCCAGACACAGAATAAGGCCTCAAAAAAGTTTGCTAATCTTCCTGTTGTTATTCCTCCTCCCCCCCCCCCCAGGGAGGTGGGAATTGAGGCCCAGAGAGGCTAGTAGGTGGTTGGAGCCTGACTCTAAACCCCTTTGACTGCAAGTTTAGCATCCTTCCCCCTCACCCTCTTCTCAGGGGACCCATTGCCTGGCTGGGCTGCACTGCTTGGTTTTGCACTGTGTTCACTCTGCTCTGTGGTTTCTTTCGGGATCTACTGTTTTCTTACTTCCTCTGTAATCTCTCACCAGTTATTTAGGCTTCCAGTGCCTCAGTTTCTCTTATGTATAAAACCAAAACCAAAAACAAAAACAAAAACACCTCACTCCCATGGAGTAGATTCCGACTCACAGCGACCCCCGTAGCTGGGGTGATAACACCTTCCCTAGTGGAGACCCTCTGGAAACCACCAGGAGAGCAGAGGAGACATTATGTGCCTGGTGGTTTCCACCATCAGCCCTTACATGCGATGTGGCTGGGGTGTGTGCCTCCCCCCTCCTTTGTTTCCTTCCATCCTTCTCCCTTCCTCCCTCCTTATATCCCTCCTTCCCTTCACCCTTCTTTTCCTCCTTCTCTCCTTTCATTCCTCCCCGCCTTTCCCTCTCCCCTCCCCCCTCTTCTTTTGCTTCTCTCCCCCTCCCCCTGCTCTCCCTACCTCCCTGTCTTCCCCTTTTCCTCCTTCCTGTTCCTCCCCTTCCTCCCTTCTCTTCTTCCTTTCCTAACTTCCTTCCTTTTCTCTCTCTCCCTCCCTCCTCCATCCCGCTTCCCTCCTTCCTCCTTCCTTCCTCTCTTTCTTCCTGCCTTCTTTTCTCCTGGAAATACAGCATCCTCGTGGTCCCTGCCCTCGCGGAATTTATAGTCCCAAATTGCCTGGCCTCTGCTCATCCCTGGAACAGTTCCCACTCCCCTCCTCCACCATGTGTCTTCTTCCTATAAGCCACAGGAGGGGATGCTACCACTTCACCTCCCTGGGATCCCTCCCTCTGCAGCCCTTGTGGTCTGCACAACCCAGGCAGCCCCCTTCTCCCCCACTATGCTATTTTAAAAACAAGCTCACAAATTCTGTAGGAACCATGAGCCATCTTCAAATCCCAGAGCACCTGACTCCATTCATTCTGCTTCAATGGCTTTCAAACTGACTATGGGATCAAAGGATGTTGCAGGAGGCTTGGAGTCTTTGGAGGGAGATGTGATGGGGAGATGGGGTCAGGAGAGATGGTCTCAGGGGCTCATCCTTGCTTCCAATACAGCAACTCTGGTTTTACCTAATTTACATTTTGGGGTTACATGCAATGTCCCACTGCTAAATAAAACCATTAAAAACCACTCCACTCTAGGATGGTGCAAGAAGTCTTGAGCTCAGTGGTTAAAGCACTCAGCTGCTAACGAAATGGTCAGTGGTTCCAACACCAGCTGCTCTGCAGAAGAAAGATGGACCAGTCTGCTTCCCTAAAGAGTCCATCTTCGGAAGCCCTATGAGACAGTTCTGTTCTGTCCTATATGGCCACTATGAGTTACGATCCATTCAATGACAATGGGTTTTATACCATGATGGGTGGGTGGCTGATTAATTTTGAGATAATTCAGACAAAATCTCCAGGAAAGATACCATGTTTGGGAACACATTTTAAAATTAGTTCCCAAGGCCAATGGAATTTGTTTTGTATTCTTGTCGTTTGGGGGCTCTCAGGGGTCCTACTTGCACCACTCACTCCACTAGTGCTGAGTCCTTACTTTTGACCTTGGTGAGGTCTTTGGCCATGTCCTGCCAATCTGTCCCCCAAAACTTTGCCTTTTCTGTTTGCAGTGCCCTGGTTCCCAAGAACCATTCAAGAGCTCGACAGATTTGCCAATCAGATTCTCAGCTATGGAGCGGAGCTGGATGCAGACCACCCGGTGAGTCCACACCCCTTAGGGTGAGAGCCTTTCTGACCCCTCTCCTCTCTCATCCTACTCATTCCCCCTTGCAGAGTCTGTCTTCACCTGCTTGTTCAACAAATGCTTATCCAGGGCCTACTTGTGCAAGGGTTGAGGAAGCAAAGATTAACAAGACATTATCATGATCATTATTATTCTTGCAGAAAGAGAAATCACAGTCCAGAAACTGTATACAGATAGATGATAGATAGATGATAGATAGATAGATAGTCCTTGGACAGTGCAAACAGTTAAGCACTGGGCCACTAACCGAGAGGTTAGAGGGTTGAACCCATCCAGAGGTGCCTGGGAAGGTTAGTTTGGCAGTCTGCTTCCGCAGGTCACAGCCTGAAAAACTCTATGGCACCCATGGTTCTACTCTGCACACATGAGCTTGCCATGAGTTGGAATCAGCTCGATAGCAACTGGTTTGGTGTTCTGGTTTCATACACGCACACACACACACAATCTTAATGTCTGACTTTGTACAATTACAGAAGTTTACATTGGCTTCTTGGGAAGCAGTCAACAGTACTAGTCACTCTGCCAGGTGTAGGGCTGGTGGGGAGTGAGGGCACGGGAATTGAGTCTTGAACACTGAGTAGATGCTACTCAAATCAGAGAAAAGAAGGTCAACAAGGGTGGAGAGAGTGGCATATCCAAAGGCTCGTAGTTCCGAAAAGGCTTGGAACATTTCGAGAACGATGGCTGGAGCATTTGGTGTGAAGGTAAGTGTCAGGAGATGAGGCCAGGGCGGTGGGTTGGGGTCAGACTGTGAAAGGTCTGAGATGTAAGACAAAGGCACATGGACTGTGTCCTGCAGTCAGGGGAGGACGTCCCCTGTTTCTGAGTAGAGGACCTGGACAGGGGGCTCTTACTGAGCCCTCTTTTCTGGGGTCGAGGGTTCTGGCAGGAGTAGCCTTGGCTGTGGCTTAGAACCAGCTCGGACAGTACCTTAGCTGTGTGACAAGTGTCACCACCATCACGCTGCCTGTCCTTTATTCCCTGCCAGGCAAATGGCTCCAGCACCTTTAAATGATTCAGACTCTGTTTACATCAGTAATGGTTTCCGGTCACCCAGCGAGAGGATCTGCATGTCATCAGGAGGTCGTTACCTGCTCACCTCTATGTGGGTCTTTACAGTTGACAGGGGACTCTCAAAATATCCCTCGCACTTTTCAGCAAACAAAGAAAATATTCTCATTTATAGTCAGATACCTTTGGCCCCATGAGGTTCAATGGCTTTTCTAGGGAGTCCTTGAGTGGTGTGAATAGATAGCACGCTTACCTGCTAACTGAAGGTTGTAAGTTCGAGTGCACCCAGAGGCACCTTGGAATAAAGTCCTGGCAGTCTGCTTCCCAAAAGTCAGCCACGGACAGCCTTCCGGAGCACAGTTCCACTCTGACACACAGAGGGGTGCCATGGGTTAGAATTGACTAGAAGACCATTTTTTTTTAATGTGAAACTTAAGTCTTTAGACTCTTCAGTCAGTGCTCATCAGGCCTGAAGACAAAGGTCTAGCTGATGGTAGAATTCTAAGCCCTTTCACGAGCCAAAGGGAGAGAGATCTCAGGGACACACTGGACTTCTAAAATATGAATAATCTGTGCTCGTTTTGTTTCTGACTGGAATAGTAAGATGCCTTTTAGTGAATTTGAGAATACAGAAAACATGAGGAATAAAATAAAGATCCCCTATAATTTCAGTTGTTTCTCTTTGCTCTTTGTACTATTCTATAGTTTACAAATTGCTACAGTAAGAAAGCGTTTTATGAACAGAAGTAAAGGTGAACACCTCCTCCCCCAACCCCCAGGCTTCAAAGCCGAGAAAGCAGAGCGTCTCCAGGCGCGGTTTCTCAGGACAACTGAGAGGCTGCCTGTGACCCAGTGCGTGGGATCTCTCCTGAGGGAGGTTTCTCCTCTCACCAAGATCCCTGGCAAGTGCAGTTTATGCTCTGCTACAAACCCAAACGTCGGCGGTTTGAATCCCCCCAGTGGCCCCATGGAAGAATGGTCAGGCGACGTGCTTCTGCAAAGATAACAGGCAGTCCTACTTTGTCACATGTGGGGTCACTGTGAGTCAGAATGGACATGTGGGCACTGGGGTTGTTTTTTCCTTTGTCCTCCTCTAATTGGCCTCCCCCGCCACCCCCCTGCCCCCCAGTACCTCCCTTTGAACTCGTTCCCTGCTCAGTTGTAGCAATGACAATGGGAGAAGAGGCTACTTTGAGACCCCTTCATTTCTCACCCTTTATACTCATGTTGAGGAATCCTAGTGGCTAGTGGTTAAAGGGGTCAGCTGTTAACCAAAAGGTCAGCAGTTCGGACCCACCAACTATTCTGTGGGAGAAAGATGTTACAGTCTGCTTGCAGTAAAGATTTACAGCCTTGGAAACCCTACAGGGCAGTTCCACTCTGCGCTGTAGGGTCGCTATAAATTGGATTCAACTCGATGGCAATTTTCTTTTCTTTTTTTTTTTTTTAATCCTCATGTCCCCTCAGAGGTGGACGGGCTGGCCTGAAAACTCTCTGGAATTCATTCCTCTTCAGGAACCCAGCCCAAGTCATTGGCTCCCAGGCCTCCCAGCTTTATGAATTTTGTCATAAAAATGCAATTTATCAGGTACATGGTCCCCCCAAGAGGAGGCGCCAGGCTCTCCCTGTTCCTGTGTTTTCTTATCAGGTCCTGGAAAGTGGGCCAAGGACAAAGCAAACATGCCAGGGGGCTGCCCCATAGCCCAGGCCCCACAGACCACGGCCCTAATATGTGAACTGCAAACGGCCACAGCCTGGGAGGGACAGGAGTTCTTTTGCAAAGAACCCTCTGTTCCACTCTGTCCCCGAGTATGATCCCTTCTCCCTGGCTGCTGTCCTTGGCAGGGTGCACGAACGTTTGACTAATGTTTCATGTCACGACCTGCAAAAGAGCCACTTTGAGAAATGAGTGAGGTAGAGGAGGGGCAGTTCCCATGAGAGAGGGCAAAGGTCACCTGCTTGCCAGCTTTAGCCAAAGGGAAAAAATGAAACGGGAGAGCTGGACTGCACTCTAGTCCCTGCTTCTCTCACCCCCTCCTGCCCGTCTTTCTTCCACAAACATTATTAAGCTAATAATATTAATAGCTACTATTTCGTAAGCATGGAAATAAACCGTGCTAAATGCTTTACATGCATTTTCTTCTCTATTTTGACTTTAGAACAGATTTATTTTCTCACCATTCTGGAGGCTACAAGTCTAAATCAAGGGCTTGGCCATGCTGATTCCTTTGTTGGGGGGAGCCTGAGGCATACCCAGGATATCCGGGAGCTCCTTGGTGATCCTTGCATGGCCTCCTTCTTCCCGAAGAAGAAGTGTGCTATCTCTGTGTCTAAGGGTTCTCTTTATAACTCACAGGTGATTATGTTTGGAGTCCCCTCTACTCAGCATGATCCAATTGGCATATCAAAGAAAACTATTTCCAATCAGGTAGAATCCGCAGGTATAAGGTTAGGATTCCAAGGCCAGTTCTGGGGAGACTCATCTTAACCTATGACTCAGGGAAAGCCCTTGCTGTCATTCTGCCAACCATGCTTTGATTAACGAGATCCTTGAAAGCTCAATTCCCTTCTCCATTAATTCCTTCCATCATTACATGCATTTTTAAATTTTACTTTTTGGTATTGTGGTAAGAATATGTGACATACAATTTGCTGTGTTAACTATTTTTAGGTGAACAACTCAGTGACATTAATTATATTAATGATGTGGTGCAGCCATCCCCACTCTCTGTCTCTAAAATGTTTTCATCCCCTCCCAACAGAAACTATGCTGGTTAGGCATAATGCCTTATTGCCTCCTCCATGCAAGTGCTGGTAACCACTAATCTGCTCTCTGTCTGTGGGCCTCTCTATCTATTCTAAATACTTTTATAAGTGAGAGCGTAGACTGTTTATCCTTATTTATCTGGCTTATTTCACTTACCATGTTTTCAATGTTCATCCACACCATACCTCATAGAACTTCGTTTCTATTTATGACTGAATATCCCATCGTATGTATGCAGCACATTTTGTGTATCTCTTCACCTGTTGGATGCTTGCGTTGTTTCCGCCTTTTGGCCATTGTGGGTAACGCTGCACTGAACACTGGTGTGTAAGTGCTGTTTGAATCCCTGCTTCCCATGCTTTTGGGATTATACCCAGGAGTGGAACTGCTGGATCCTATGGTAACATGCATCCAAAAATAAACAAACAGACTACAACGGCTCAATGAGGGTTGTACTTTCTCGTTTTCAGAAGAGGAAATCTCAGACAGAGAGGGCTGTGTGCGTGTATGTCAACTATCTCCTGGGCCATGTTAATTTCTAAATAAGGAGATTTAAATGATAAATAAAACTCCTTTCTCAGGGGGACCTGCAGTACTGGGATAGAGGGAGAAAAGTGTCCCTCCCAAAGGCTCCCTAGAGAGGGAACTGGAATAATAAATAACCGTGATGGTGGCAGACAGAATCCAAGTGGTTTCTGTTTGATTCCCATTTCTTCCCTTTCTTTGACCATTTTCTTCCCACTGTGTTCCTATCAGTGCCATTTTCCTTACCTTGGAGGCTTTTTCTTACCGCCCACCCATTCCTTCCCTGCTGGCAAACCTCTATTCATCTTGAAAAGCCCAACTGATTTCCCAGCTCCTCTGAAGCCTTCCTTTATCTCTTCCCAAGGCTCAGCTTTTCACACTGTTGCTGTAGAAATGTGTGCATGTCTCTTAGGGTATGTACCATGTTGTGTTTTATACTTGTCAGCGCAGAATATCAGACCAACGTAAAGTCATGCTCCCATGACTTGTAACGTCACAGATGAGGCACAAGTATATACAAGTTGAAGAGTTATATGCCTAGTTCCCAAACAGTAAAAAAGCAAAAACAAACAAACAAACAAAACCCTATGATCAAAATGAAAACTGTTGCACTTCAAAACCCCATTTAAAGCATATACAAGTCCCAATATCT